ATTGATGCCGCTGTCTCCGTATTCTACGACAACATCTATAAAGTAATCCAAGATACTGTTCCGGTGAAGACACGAAAATCTTGTTTGCAATTCCAACAACCTTGGTGGAATCCGCAATTGCGTAATCTGCGTAACCGTCTGCGTAAAGCTCGAAAACGTTACTTTCGTTCCCGGACCGCAGCAAACAAGTATACGGTGCAGCTAGTAGAAGCAGAGTATAATAGTTTGCAGGAAGCTCGCTTTCGTGAGTACGTCGACAACCTCCAGAGGGATTTCAAGGAAAATCCATCGTCGTTCTGGTATTTTATCAACTCTCGGAAAAGATCAGCTGGTATTTTCGTGGACGTCACCTACGGTAGTAGAAGCTCCACCACCGACACCGCTTCTGCTGACCTTTTCGCTGACTTTTTCCGAAGTGTTTTCGAACCCCTTCAAACTCCTCCACCGCAGCAATACATTGATCAGCTACCAAGATACGACATTCACCTGCAGCAGCTCATCTTCAGTCAAGACGCTATTCTCAAAGCCCTTTGCTCAGTTGATCCATCGAAAGGTCCAGGCCCGGACCGTATTCCACCGTCTTTCGTCAAGAACTGTGCAGCATCATTGGCCACTCCCGTTATGTCTATTTTCAATCGATCGCTTAAGGATGGCGTTTTTCCGGATGCCTGGAAGCTCGCCTCAATTACACCAATCTTGCACATGCACAAAGTGGAAAATTACCGACCTATCTCGATCCTGAACTGCTTGGCCAAAGTTCTCGAAAGTCTTCTGCATGAGAAGTTGTATCCAGCTGTTCAACCCATAATCTCAGAGTTTCAGCATGGATTCATGAAAAAGCGCTCGACAGTCTCTAACTTGATGACTTACACGAACACTCTTATAGGTAGCATCGAGAAGCGTCAGCAAGTGGACTCCGTTTACATCGACTTCTCTAAGGCTTTTGACAAAGTCCCTCACGACCGTGGATCGTTTGTTGGTTGAAATCATACTTATCATCCAGGAAGGCTTTCGTTAAGGTACGTGATTCCAGATCCGAGGTATTCCATATACCATCGGGGGTTCCACAAGGGAGTCACCTAGGACCTCTCATTTTCGTTCTGTTTATTAACGACGTGTGTGATATGCTAAGTTCCTGCAAGTTGCTATATGCGGATGATCTTAAGCTGTACCGTGTGATCAAATCGATCGTGGATTGTTGCGCACTACAAGCTGATATAGAGCGATTGTCATCCTGGTGTCAGATGAATGGAATGCAAGCCAATGCTGCCAAATGCAAAGTGATTACCCTTACCCGCTCTCACTCTCCAATCATTTTTGATTACTCTATGAATCAATCGACGCTGGAAAGGGTTAATGCCATTAAGGATCTTGGGCTCATCTTGGACAGCAAACTACGGTTTAACGAGCACATATCCATGACAGTTGCAAAGGCCAACTCCATGCTAGGATTTTTGCGCCGCAATACTGCACAATTCGACGACGTGTACGCCCTGAAAGCGCTGTACTGCTCTATGGTCCGCAGTGTTCTTGAATATGGAGTACAAATTTGGGCTCCATATCATACTGTTCATGTACTGCGCATCGAGAGAATCCAGAAACAGTTTATAAAGTTTGCATTACGACGTCTGCCATGGACAAATACAGATAGCTTACCTCCGTACGAGCATAGAGCAAACACTAACAAATCGCCGAGTCTTTCTCCAGAGGATGTTCATATTTGACATGTTTAGTAATCATAATGACTGCTGTTGTTTGCTCGGGAATATCAATTTCCACACTTCAGCTCGCCGTCTCCGCAACTATTACTTTCTGTGGACTCCCGGACATCGTACAGCTTACGGTTATAACAATCCTCTCGATAGATGTTGCAGACTGTTTAATGATGTGTGTGATGTTTTTGATTTTAATATAAGTAAACCAGTTTTTAAGAATAGGATTAAGTCACTTTAAACAGTCTGTATGGCAAAAATGTCAAAGATGGTGGTTAAATAAATAGATTCGGGTATATCTGCGGAAATCAATTCGCCAGAAATAGCTCTATAACCGATAAAGTAATCAAATAACTTACCGGGGAGCCTGCACTCCCGTTCGCTATGCCTCGACGACAATTCAATAGGAATTTCGCGTTTTTCTGTGGGCGAAGGGAGCGCATTTTCTGGTTGTTCAACCGGTTCTTCAAGATCATCGTCGGGTTCTGCTTCAATTCGATTAATTTCAGGTTCATCATTGGCTTCACGAATTTCATCTGGGGGGGGGGGGGGGGGGGCTGGCAACGTTCCCCCTCTTGCTCGAACGGGAAGTGGACGGTCAATGGGACAGCGTCTTCTTGCTGCATCACAGCGTACGGGAAGGACGACTCATCAAACTTGACGTCTCGAGCAATCGTAAGCTTTCGAGCCACCGGGTCCCACACGCGGTAGCCGTTCGGAGCGTACCCAACCATGACCATCCCCTTGCTCTTCGCATCCAACTTACGCCTTTGCTGCTTCGGAATCGACACGAAACTCTTGCAGCCACGAAGTTTGTCCAGATCCGGTCTGATACCGAACCACATCTAAGCCGGGGTAACACCAGAGGGCAACGCACTTGTTGGGATTCGGTTCATCAAGTAAACGCAGGCGAGGGCTGCTTCGGACCACAGCTGCTTCGGCATATTGGATGAGCATTGGAACGGACTTTTTCAACCAAGGTTCGGTTGAACCTCTCCGCTACACCATTCTGCTGGGGCGTGTACGCAACCGTTGTCTCCAGCTGTATCCCTTTTCTCTTGTAGAACTGCATCTGATTTGTAGAACAGTACTCTCGTCCCTGGTCCTCCGTCATTCTTGAAATGGACTTTCCAAGCATAGCCGTGACCTTTGCTTCGAATTCCTGAAATTTCTCGAATACATCTGATTTGCGCTTCAGCAAATATATCATCGAGAAATGATGAAACTGACTATGTAACGAGAACCATCCCATGCCGGTGGATCGACCGGCCCGCAAACATCAGAATGAATCCGCTCCAGCGGCCGGTTGGCCCTAGCTCGCGTTCCGTTGAACGGTTCTCAGCATTGCTTGGCTTGCACGCAAGCGTCGCAGAAATCAATTTTGGTTGTTTTTTCATTCATACCTTTCAGCATTCCTTTCCGGGCCATGGTCTTCAATCCGCGTTGGCCGATATGCCCCAGTCGACGATGCCACAGGTTTCCAATCGATACTTCGCAGTGATTCGCTTCAACTTCCTCCAACGACTGCTCAAGCTCAAGCTGCCTCGAAGGTGTCCAGTGGCCAGTAACTTACCACTTTTCTTCAGAACTGCTACGTTTCCAGAGAACAAGACATCGATCCCAGCATTGGCCATCTTCCTGACGGATATCAGGTTTTCACGTAGTTCTGGAACGTAGAGCACATTCTTCATATTGAAATGTACACCTTTGTTGCTGGTCACGTTGATTTCGCCAATCTGTTCAGCAAGCATAGCTTCTCCTTCCTTGGCGACCTTGATCTCCACGCGACTGGTCATCTTCTTCGAGGCAGCAAAAACGAACTTGTCGCCAACCAGGTGGTCACTGCACCCGGAATCAAGCATGAAAAGGATTCGTCCAGGCCGCTTTTCCGCAATGTTTGCATCGGCCATGAAACTGATGGCATCCTTCTTCGCTGAATTGGCTTCACGCTGGCGACAACCCTTTTTCATATGGCCGCGACGCCCGCATTTGTGGCACTTACCGATAAATTTCTGGGAATTCTTTTGGGATCTTGATTCACCCGAGAACGCTGCCAACTTGTCTTCAACTGAATCGCCCTGCCGGTCGGATCGCTTCCTTTCTTCAGCCTATAGACGCTGCTTGTTTCAGGTTTCCAAATTCAGGTCTTCTTCCACGACGTTCTCCAGGGCCATGCCTAGGGGATCAAAAGAGTCTGGAAGCGTCAAGAAAAGCTGCGACACCAGATCCCTTTCCGCCAGAGTTGCTCCGGCCGTCTTCAATTTTCTCACGAGCCCGTCGAATTCAAGTAGATGCGTCCGCATGTCCCCTTCCTTCATCCGCAAACGAGGCAACTGCTTCCATACTAACGATCTCGAACGATCTCGAGGCATTCGTCCGACAGGCAACCCACCAGCAACGCCTTAGAGATCCGGTCCGTTTCTTCAAACTTCTTCTTTGCAGCTTGTTCCGTTGGAGCCACCTCGGTCAGCACATCCGCGACGCCTTTGACTTCCAGGAACAGGCGCACTCGATAACTCCAGTTTTGGAAGTCAGCTCCGCTTCCACGCAGCAACGGTATGTTGCACGAAACGTCCTTCGCGGTGGTGCCTATAACCTCTTGAAGGGACAAACGGGAGACTCCAAACGAAGTATATGGTTTAACAAGAAAAACGGAGAAAAGTTTATTTAAACGTCTGTACTACACGAAGTGCGATTGTGGAATGAACAGCTATTAATTTTCACAAACAGGTAACGGGTCGTTGCCAGGGGAAAGCGACGACTGATTGCCTACTACGCCAACATCTGGCTTTGACAGTTCGTTTGGCTCAAATCCAGCCAGTCCGCTCCTCTCTTATACTAGATACCCGAGTCATAACTAGACGTGTTTCAATTGCGATCTAGAAACCTTTAATAATTATTACAGAACAATAAAGCCGAATGCCATTCCAGAGTGACCCAAAACGGAAACCGGAATAACTAACAGTTTGCCCTTTCGTGATTCGGCCTTCTGTTCCTATCCCGGATTTGCCATTATTCACCTACACAGACTAGTTCTATTCTATACCATAAAGCTGGGTTTAGACTAGGCAAGTTAAATGATCAACTCAGTTGAATTCAATTGGCTTGAAAAGTTGAGCCTGGTTCAACTTTTTTCAATTCAAGTGAGTTGATCAAGTTCACACGATCAATTCACGTTCAAGTCAGTTGAATTCAACTGACCTGATCAATTGACTTTCCCTGTCTAAACCCAACTTTCGTAATCAATTCGACATCAACTAATCCCTACCGCTTTACTCTCCTCCACAGCCCGTCTCCCTCGGAGGTCAATCGCAGAGTCAACAGATGATCATAACTTCCAGCGGGACCGGTGTTCAAGTGCAAGCCAAAGTTCATCAAACGGCAGCTCCCATCGGTACTAGCACCGGTCTAATCACCCTTGCCGACAAGCAACAGCAACTGCAGCAGCAGCAGCAGCAGCAGCACCATCAACAGCTCCATCAACATGCGAATCCGAACCGCCAACAGCAACATCATCATCATCAGCAACAGCAACAGCAGCACCACCACCAACACCAACAACAACAGCAACAACAACAACAACAGCAGCAGCAACAGAAGGAAATCAAATTCCGTTCGGCACCGATCAAAACCGTGTCCAATGGGTCCACCATGTATTCGGTGCTGTACGCGGGGAATGGCAATAAAATTACGATCAAAAGGAAAACAGACCCGCCGCACATCCAACGGAAGGCCACGATCCATACGCTGGACAAGGAAGGCCAGATCAAGCTGGCCAAAACGTTGGCCGACAATTCTGCCGCCATGAGTGGATTCAAAATGCCACAGACGACGACGGGACTGGCGACCAGCGGGGGTGGACAGGTAGGCCAGGGGAATGTCACGGTCGTCAGCGCCGGGGCCGTCAGCAAGCAAACGGCGAAGCAGCTGCTGAAACGAAGAGGATGCCGGTGTGGTAATGCAACGGCCACACCGGGAAAGCTGACCTGCTGCGGCCAGCGATGCCCGTGCTATGTCGATTCCAAGTCCTGCGTCGACTGCAAGTGCCGGGGCTGTCGGAATCCCCATCGGGCTGATGGTATGAAGGTGAGAATTGCAGTGCTTTTGTTTAGGGTCGACCAGGTTTTTTGACTACTTGTTTTTCAGGTTCGTCCTCACATTCCTGAGTTGCAGAATCTGGAAATTAATCTTCACAACCCGAACGACGAAGAAACACTGACTACGACCACGACGACTGTGTTGGGTTCTCAGACGGTGAGCTCCGTCAGCGGTGGGGGGAATCATTTCCAACCGTCGATGGCCAGCACCAGTAGTCAAGCGCAGAGTTCAGGACTAACGGCGGTCAGCACCGGCGGAAAGGGATTAACTCAGATCAGTCACCTGCCGGGTGGATCGACGCTTAAGATTACCCCCACTTCGATAGCTAATGTGCTGAATAGTACAAATCAAATCTGCAGTTCCGAAGGGATGGACATCGTGCCGAGCGGAGGACTTCTCGATTCCAATGGCTTCAGCTACATCACGCAGGCGAGCTTGGATGCGGGAACGCCGGTGGGGGCAGGTTCCACCACACAGTACTCCGTCCCGGGCAGTAGTCTTGCCAACGGAGGGACGATACATGGTAAGATCCAATAGATTGTGTCATTTTTTGTTTAAATCACTCAATTTCCATCTCTTCCCACGTCCGAATAAAGTGGTCGGCATCTATGCAACCCATCTCGGTGACGTATCCTGCAGCCCCACCCTGTCCAACATGATCCGAACGGACAGTGGCCTAAACAGTCTGCTTACTCACAAACCTCCGGACGCTCTGCTGACGCAAACGTCGCTCAATTCGTTGAGTATGGCCACCCCCTCGAGCCTGATGGGTCACGCACTGTTCAATCCGACGACGACGACCATGTCGACGAGTGGCATCACTAACATCATGAGCAGTAGTGCTGCTGGCGTGCACGGGAACCCGTCCGGATTGGAACTGACCGGTATCGGGGTGGGCGATGGAACCGGAATCGACATCAGCGATCAGTTGGACCTTTCCGGAACGAATCTGATCACCATCGACGGAACGCTGGACGATCGGTTGCATGCGGACGATGTCTAAGCGTGGATCAGTTGTGTGGTAATCGTATCTAATTTTACGACTAATGTTTTAGACTTTTTAGGTATTTTAGTTTTTCTCGTAGCAATTGTTTTGTTCGAGGGGCAGACCTCCCTCCTTCGGGGCGGGGCGAGGTCACGACTCTTCCAACGCTCCTGTTCATTCGCGAATAATGCATTAGTTTCCGGGACGAATTGTCCCGTCCTCGGGGACGCTGACAGAACCTACAAATGTAATTTCTTTTAACTGTCATCCATCTTCTATTTAGGAATAATGCTTTAGGTTTCGCTCGCTATTTTGTCGATATAATATTATATTCTAGGTAAAACGTAGAACACACAAACACACACTCACACATCCACACATGGTAGTTTGGTAGGCTTTTTTGTACTATTATGATTACTCTCATACATGTGTAAACGCAGGAAACAATGAAACAAACGAGCAGTTTAAGATATACCTATATTAAGTAGAAACCCAAGTCAATCGTCGCCGGTTGAACGCTGCCGGTGAGACGATCGCATTGCCATCGTGAGCTCGATCCCGATGGTGTCTGTAGTAGTGAGATGTTCGATTTTAAGAACCCCTCCGCCTCTTAGATTCCAACCCTACTAAACCCTACTCCCCCTTCCTCAGAAATCCAATCGAAGCTTCGGCATTTCTCCACTTCCTGTACCTAAAACGAAGCTTCATCGATGATTCAATTTGCGAATGAATATAGCTCAGCTTTTAATTTAGCGTCTGTTTCCAATGAATGAATGAGTGATGAACGAAATGGTTAAATGGTTAAACAAGCTAGTATATTATCTCAAGAACAATAGTGGATGTCAATTCTGGGAGGTGGTAATAGCGTCGTCCCGGACTACCTACTATACCTATGCGGGCTTTTGGGTTGGAGAAGGGTCCGACTCGCGTGTGAAAGGTTACAAAACAGTAAAAGTATATATTTCAATAAACTAATTTTTTGTCAATGTATCTCTCATGGTAGTAACTTATTTTGAACGAAATTCATTGTGAACTTTCAAATTTATGGTATTTTGGGCTGGTATTTTCGGAGAATTTGTGATATTTTTACATGGATTATTAACTACCGGTCAGAATCATAAAGGCCTAACTTCAATAATAATAACTAGCGCTAGATTAACATTTATAATCCAGATGATACCGAAACCAAGCCGACAAGCAAACCTCGTCACCCCCACCGTGTACGATTGACGATGTTTAGCCCAGCTCTGCGTGCAAGCCTGCTGTCCTCCTCTTGGATCGCTGGGGTTCGAAACAGAGGACTTCCGTAATGTCGTGAATTCAGCCGAATCTGTCAATATCAGGCCAATTAAACAGCCAAGTGAACCAACCGAGCGCCATTTACGAGAACTCTCCACAGGTTGTTACCATCCTAAATGATAACATTTTGTATTTTTATTTTGTGTGGGGACGTAGGGCACCATTTGTTCAGCAAACTTCCAATTTGAATTGCGAACGGTAGTACCGATAATGATTGTGGGTGACGAGTGAAGTCGGCTGCAGTAATTGGAACGAAAATGTGGTAGCGAACGAGAGAGCTAAGTGGTGTGAGTGTGACTATAGGTGGATGTAAAGAGCCTGAATTTATTTTATAAATTCAGCCTCTTTAGGTGGATGGTGAGTCGGTGTGTAGCGAAGCGATGCCTCTGGGCAGACGTTCGGTGGAAAAATGGTAGAGACGGCAGTGGAAGTGAGATGCGAAGCACGAGGTTCGCGTCACTGCAGGAAGATAATCATCGTTGGTCTCATGATGGAACGACGACATCAGACTGCCACTATCAAATCATCGTCCGCTGGCCACCATCAGGGCACCGTTATCAGGCCACCGCCATCCGGTCACCACTATCCGGTCACCACTATCCGGTCACCACTATCCGGTCACCACTATCCGGTCACCACTATCCGGCCACCGCCATCAGACTGCTTCTATTCTGCTGCCGCCATCGGGCTACTACCATAGGGGTGCTTCCGTTCGGCTGCGACCATACGGTATTGGACTACCGCCATCTGGCCACCAACATCCTGTTGTCACTAACTGGCCACCACCATCTAGACAATGCCAAGCTCATCATATTGGTTCGCATAACAAATAAATGTAAGGTAAATTCTACTTTTATAGTTGGTTAGGACTTCCCCACAATCCGAAAGCTTCCCCACGCAAAAACGCCCTGGGACCCGGAACCAAAAGAGGCCTTGAGTGTCCACCCCGGGAGCTGCCGTTGGCTTAAGACCATCAGTTTGGGGCTTAGGCTGGTTCAAGAAGACCAAGTCAACAAACCGTAGTCTTTCGCAGCTGGTGGACTGCCGCATTCACTCCTGACGTCGACTAGAACCAGACCGGTCTCGAATTGTATCTGAGTGGGTTCCAGCTGACATCGAGAATGGCTAAAACAATATTGGAGCCGAGTGCATCCGGTACCAATGTTGCAGCAACAACAATTAATTAATTAATTTATCTTTATTAGGGAGGCTTTCAGCCTGGGGCTGGTTCGCCTCCAACGCAGCAACAACAAATAATAGGAGATCTAAAGGGTGTTACGATCAAAATTTGGTCGACTTAAACTTGAGTCATTTCGCGCCAAATCGTAGTCGGAGCTGGCAGCACCCTTTCAGATTTCAATGAAACTTTCTGAATGTGTGGACCTTGACTAAATAAGCCACTTTGCATACTTAGTTTTTCGAAAACTTATCTAGACCATCATTTGAGAAGGGCCAAATTATGTTTGCTGATTTTTTTCAAAAAAACATAATGGAAAAATGACAACTCCTACAAAAAAGTGTTGTATGGATGACTTTCAGGAAATTGTCCAAGTTTTCGAACAAAAATACTGAAAAAAACTGGATGAAATTTTGTCTCAAGTTAGGTAATTATGTTTAATACCAATCGTTCATTCATCGTGAGATGGGCACTTTTAAGGAAAAAAAAAGTTTTCTAACAACAACTTTTTCATGTCTGAACTGAATTTTTTTAACAAGCCATTTTCATACAAAACTAAACCATTGAAGGTCATAATAATCTCAGAATCCAATGAAGCTCAATTTGCAAGACAATTTTGTCTAATCAGCAACTAAGTTCACTTTGATAAATCGAGAATTCCATAAGAAAAGGGCTTATAAGGTAACTTAGCATTCTTTGCTACAAGTATTCATAAAGAATTAGGTATGAATAAAATTTAAATGGAGATCTTCCCTTCGAATCAACTGCGTGGAATCATAGAGGTAACAACTCTAAGACCAGAAGGTCCCGAAGAAATGTACTCAACTTTTTGGCTCAGCTCTGGCACTATCTTCAGTCCCAAGCTAATCGATGCACCCCTCGAAACATAGGAAAATCCACGGACCCCTAATTTTATCTGTCAAACTTTCATAGCGAATCAAAACAAACATAGTGTAGTACTAGAATTTCGACTAGCAAAGCAAATCGATTAACATAACCCATTCTAGTCAAAATTCAAGTACTACACTATGTTTGTTTTGATTCGCTATGAAAGTTTGACAGACAAAATGAGGGGTTAGTGGATTTTCCTATGTTTCGAGGGGTGAAACGATTAGCTTGGGACCGAAGATAGTACCAGAGCTGAGCCAAAAAGTTGAGCACGTTTCTTCGGGACCTATTAGCAACAATCAATACGAAACTAACGATTTTAAATTGGCTCACCACTTTAGTAGCCTATTGGTCCCAAGCAAACGATTAACGTACCCTATTCTAGTTGAAATTCTATTACTACACTATGTTTGTTTTGATTCGCTATGAAAGTTTGACAGATAACATCAGGGGTGTGTGGATTCATGCAGAACATGCAGGGGTGAGTAAAATAGCTTGCGACTGCTTGGGACCGTTGTTCTGGTACTGAGTGAGCCAAAAATAATAATGATTTTCTTCGGGACCCAGTGGTCTTAGAGTTACCTCTATGCTATTAGTCTTAGAGGACTAATGTGTGCCAGTGTACCGTTTTGTTCCAAAGGGGGGGGGGGTCAAACATATTGATTTTTAGCGAAACGGAATTAATGGACACCGCTCGGGACACCGTCCAACTATAATAATCAAAGCTCACAGCTCAAGTGCAGAAAACGGTTCCGCACCGAAAAGGTCGAAACTGCACAGTAGGATGAACGGGTGATGGCGATGGATTACAAGGTTCCAGTTAATATTCCCAGCTGTATTTGGACGGGAATTTGATCCGCAATATTCTCGCACAGAAATACATCACCCGGTGGGTGTCTTACTTCACTATTAGCTCTTTCTTATCCGAACCCTTGACCAGCAGCAGAGACGAGTAAAACTTGGGCCGAGTGGAAAAAACGACCTGAATTCCTTTTCCACCTGCTTGTCGTAGGGGGTTTCATTGGTAAGGCTTTTCCCGGGGCTAGAATCAGCAGTTCGAACGAAATCAACAGTTGCTTCGCGCCTGTTCGGTAACTTCCATGATACAACACACAGAGACCCGGGCTCTTATCCGTCGAATTCGATCGGTTTGAGTCCGGGAAATGGATGTGCGTTGCCGTCTCCTCCGTGATGCACTTGATGTTTTTTGCCCCCGAGACCGATTATAGACGAATGGTCCGTCATCTTTTTTTAGTTTTCGCACCGATTTTTTACCGGCATGGTCAGCTGACATACGTGGTGTTTGTTGTGGAGAGTGATGTAAACTGACAGTGAGTATGGCAGAGTGCTTCGCGGTCGACCTGAAAACTTCGAGAAACTGCACGGCTTGCTTGACAATTTGTGTGCATGCAGAAGGGATAAGTTGGGAATAGAAAGAATAGATAGGATGGATTGAAATTTTGTGCACATTGAAAATTATATGAGAGGTTTGGGTAAAAATGGGATAATCCTGAAGTGTCGTTCCCCCTGGAACTCACTACTTCCCAAGGTGCGGATTGCTATTTCCCCCACCTGAATAGTAACCTCCGGTACGCAAGTAGCGTTATGGTAGAGGTTGGTAAATGTGCCTTATTTCTTCATTGGTACGGTTGCTCTTATCAAGTACTTTGCATATTTTGTTTTTGTTTTATGAACTCAATGAAATACAGTTGATTTTAAACTACAGAACTTGCAACATCTTAATTGCGCATCATGGTGTCAGAAGTATAAAATACTGCACAATTTGAGAGTTCGAAGAGATTTTGTTTTTACTAAATCGTAATCTTCGGAAACAAAAACCGTACCACGAACACGCGAATTGTTTTGATACGCAAATTACGTGTGCAACATCAGTTGACCGTTCCGAACAATTGACGTTGACGGCGACTCTGTAGCTCTTTACTCCTATGAGAAAATCCATAAGCAAACGTCAGACTGTGCGTGAAACATGGCGGACTTTGTACTATCCTTTCACTCCACCGAAAATTCCCATAAGAAACTATCTAAATTTGCTGGAAGAGCAAATTTTTCGACGGTGCCGTCAACGCCAATAACAAAAAAAAATCAAGTAAGGCAGCGACGATGATGGCGGAGCACCCGTACCACCAGCACCTGCGGAACGAAATCAAGCTGGAAGGAAACATTAAAAAAAAACGTCACCAACTTTCGAGACGCATTCGACATCTATCTCATTGCTTCTGGGCTAGAGCTACGTGACGAGCGAGTAAAAGTGGCTACTTTTAAGGCTGCACTAGGTATGGAAGCACGAAAAATCTTCAACCTGTGGCCGTTGCAACCGGAGGAGAACAACACCGTGGAAGCTTGCTTGGTGTCCTTGGCGAAGTATTTGGTTCCACAAAAGGATGTCCAGTTGTTGGCACGGTACGAATTTTTCGAGTGTTGTCAACAACCAGCCGGTGAAGATATTGCAATGCGGAAAGTGTGACTCATTTCATCGACAGAGCTCGAGAGCTAGTCAAGGACTGTAATTTTGGAAACCTTAAGGACAAAATACTCCGAGATAAGATCATCACAGGCATTCTCGATACGAATCTCAAAAAGCGATTCATCGAGCAACACAATTTGA